GAGGGGAAAAAAAGCAGAGGAACACGAGCGGGACGCCTGCACTCTAAAAACGCTCTCATGAAGGGTTCAGTAAGGGACCCGAGGGTTCCCCAACTCTGATGAATACAGGAAGTGTTTTTGTGATCTGCAACTTCATTAAACCCAAACCTCTGACCAAAACAGCCTTTCTGACGCCGTCACATGACTTCATGCTAACATGAGCTGAGTCTCACTGAAACGGTAACCATCCTCACACCGGCACACGAAGCTGTCGGGAGTGCCACGTCAGGGGCGTTTTCCACTCGCCGTTTCCTGTCAGAGGTTTCCCCGTAACCACGGAGCCGCAGTGACGTCACCTGCTCACACCTGCACTTTGGCCCTTTTGGTCCGACCGCACTCCGAGGCACACTGCATCCTCATTGGCTGACGACTTCTGACTGACAGAGTGCTCACCAATAAGCAGCCGTTGGTTTCTGACTTTCACCATAAAATAAACGCGGGGATTTATCCTCCGGAGAGCCGAGGAACAAACGTTAGTTTAACTCGTGTCGTGGTTCGTGTCCAGAGGACGTGACCGAGCAGGCTGAGGACACCGAGACTCTGTCAAACATGACAGCAAACATGTTTGGTGTAACATGTTCCAAAGTAACACATTACTGTAATCACATTACATTTTTCAGTAATACAGTAATGTAATGAGTCACAAAGCTCTTCAGCTATCTGCACACCGAGTCTCTTTCTGCATGCGCACTTCTGCTCCGATCAGCTGATGAGAGAGCCGTCATCCACACATGGACAAAACTTGGAACGTCGCCCAATGAATGGCCGGCCTTCCAAAATGACTACAAGAGCACGTGACACGAACATCAGGACAACTGAGCGATTGCAACGCAGCAGAGGCTTAGAGATAAAGTCACCTCGAGGTTCATACAAGGTGAGCAAGCACTTGGCAACAGTAGGAAGGAAAAACTCCCTTTTAACAGGAAGAAACCTCCAGCTGTGACTAGTTGGGGTTATACACGTACAGAGGTGTATAAACACATAGTGAGAGAAGAAGAAACACCCAGTGCATCATGGGAATCCCCGGCAGCCTACGTCTATTGCAGCATAACTAAGGGAGGATTCGGGGTCACCTGGTCAAGCCCTAACTATATGCTTTAGCAAAACGGAAAGTTTGAACGCAAAAGTACTGAGTAAAAGTAACAAATTACTTTCTCTAGCAACTCACTCGGTAGATGATGCATTACTTTTGATAAAAGTACTAGTAGTAATAGATTACTTTCTTTGTACTAATGACCCCAGTAGCAGTGACACCCATGATTGTGCCTGACACGTGTGTGCGTCTCCGTTAGTGTTGCACTCATTGGTGGGAGTTGTGTGTTTGCAGCAGTGCAAACAGGAGCTGTTCATAATGAATTCAGCTAACTTTTAATGCCTGCTTGGCTTCCTCTGCGGAGGCTGCCAGCCTCAGAAAGCCTCGGCTCTAAAAGGGCCCTGCACGCTCTGCTGTGCTTCTACGTGCTCGTGTGTGAAGCTAACGCGGTGGGAAGCAGGACCGGTGTTTTTCAGAGTGTGCTCCAGAGACTGAGCGTGTGAGCGGAGCATTAAACGGGAGGTTTAGCCCCGTCGGCGGCGCTATAGATTCAAACACGTGCGTGGAAGTAGGTCAGTAGTGAAAGGGTTCTCGGCTGTCCTCGCACGGCCTCTGCTCGGCCCGTCACACCACTCGCGTCGACTCCAATTTTCTCTTCCTCGCCCCTCCTCCTCCCACTGCCCCCTTCCTCCTCCCCCTTCATCCCTTTCTCTCTGCCCCGATTAGGAGGGGAGCAGGTCCCACCCCTGGTTCAGACGGGTCTCCTGTAGGTTAACTCTTCCCGCTCCGAGTGAACTTTTATCTCTCTGCAAGGTTCCTCCTCGGCGGTCGGCTCGTGTTTTCACCGAGGCCTCTGCCAGACCATGTGCGGCGTGTAACTGGTGTTTTTGAGGGAGACCCGACGCCACAAAATGGGGCCAAGCTCGGCGCTGTGAAGGCAGGACATGAATCAGCCTTTTCTCCCCGAAGCTCGAGTTAAAAACAGAGGCCAAAAAAATCTGGGAAATTAAGGAGAGAGGGAAACGGAGCCAGTGAACTTCCAGGAAGGCTGGATAAAACCCAGATCTGTGAACAAATGGTGTATTACCCAACCCGGCCAGCTTTACATGATTTACAGTAGAGGTTAGAGAGGGGCGGGTGGCTGAGCTCACACCGCCATCTGCTGGAAAGCAGCGGCAGCGCGAGGACAAGCCCCCCTTTAACCACACAGACGAGCCAAAATGCCCCATCATGGCTCCCAAAACTGTGGCACAAATTCACACCGAATCCGGACCGAGTGTAAGCAAAGATGTTTTCTGAAAGGCGCTGAAACGCCGAGCGATGAGGGCTAAAGCGAAGATGTAGAGGAGAATACAGTGGTTTGAATATCTGGAGGAGAACAGCGTGTTCCCAGGACTGGTTCGGCTGGTTTCTATGGTGCTGATGGTTTCTATGGTGGCGGTGTTTTTGGTGGCGGCGCTGAATACCTCGAATAATTGAGGCGGTTCAGCGAGGAGGGAAAACAGCGCCGCAAGTTAAAGAAGGAACAATCAGAGAACGCTGGAAATGAATCTTTTTAGACGCAGACAGACACAGATATCGTAAAGCTCAAAGTGAACATACACGTGTGCTCGCAACGGTCACTTAACCGACTGTCAACACAGATATCTAATCAGCCAATCACATGACACCAACTCATTTACTGGGATTAGAGTGTACAATATCCAGTAAGCGTCATATCTGTCTTATCGAGGTCAGAGGAGACAACCGAGGCCTGCACAAGAGCATCTCTCCGTGCACCACGTGTCCAATATGGAGGCGGATGAGCTACAGCAGCAGACAACCACACCGGCGACGCTCCTGTCGGCTCAGAGCAGGAAACTGAGGCTACAGCTCATACAGACTCAACAAAACTGGACACAGACCACCAGGAAACACTGCCCGGCTGCTTCCAAAAGGACAACACACCACGTCATAAAGCTCCAGTCATCTCCATCTGGTAACACTGGGAATCACCAAAAACCCACCGGTGGCCACCAGCACACTTCAGCCTGTGTCAGTTTGATCTGTCCGAACCTCACGAACATTAAAAAGGCCCAGTTTGGAGGAGCGTCTGTAACGCTGGAGCGCACGGCATCAAGAATCAGCTTCAGACCACAGCAGCTACAAGGACCAGGAAAGCTGCTGCATCATGTGACTCCACAGTAGTTTATAACAGGTTTTTTTCAGCGAATTGTCAGAAAACTAAAAAAAAAAAAAAATCAGCTGACTCTGAGGAGGGGGTCAGGTGCGACTCACATCCAGGGCCGACGAGCACGTCGTTAATCTGAAACGAACGCCTCGGTGTCGTCCTGCCGAAGTCTCTACATCAGTCACTCTGAGCCGTCACAGCAGCGCCGGTGCCAGTGCGACACCTGCTGGTGGTTTCAGGAATTTAAGAGAAATCCAGCAGCCTCACATGTTACTGCTGATTGCACATCTGCATGTGTTTCCACCAGAGTT